AGTGCAGTCACACCGCTCAGACCCACCAGTCCTGTTGGGCCCAGGCCCGTCTGCGTTCAGTTCTGCACGTACGCCGGCCTGTAACCACATGCACGCACTTATGTAACACACGCACGTTCACCTACACACTTAGTAATAATAGGAGGGTCGTCTGAGGACAGTTTCTCTGATAGATACACTTTCACAAAATGCACAATGTAATACACACTTGTTTTTCTCTTAAGAGTAGCAGTTGATGTCTATATAAGGGAAAACTCTTTGAGAGGCGGGGAATTGTTATCATTTGTGATCATTTCCAGTAAAGATCCAACTGTGATGTCATAATGGTAATATAAGGAGACGGGACGGTCCAGTCGACGAAGGATTGTATTGCAAATTGTCTTTCCCACACTGACTGCGCAAAGTGTGTAATAAAGATCACTACTTTTTGACACCTACTTCGGCCTGGGCTTGCTTTCTTCTCTTCCCTAAATCGAACGAACCATAACATCGTGTAAATCAGTGGCTCACAAATGATATCGGCTTACTCACTAACAATCATCTCTAACTGTACTCCTTCACATTAACTTAAATTGTAAATTGATGGTGTGCGTGCAGCAAAGAGAATGAAAATGAGGAACAGATGGACACAGAGAGTAAGAGGAAAAAACTATCATTACAGCTTTGTGCCCCTCATTCACCTGAACATGTTTTATTTACTGTCCCTCAGAAGCAGAGTTGGCGTAAGAAGTGTTTGTTCTACAGTCTGGGTCAGTCTGGGCCGAGCGCCTGACACACACAGCCGGAGGCTACAGTCCTGCAGGACACACTGAGCCGCGGCGCCCTCTGCACGCAATGATGAAGCAAACTTTGGGATATTGTGTCGACCTGAAATCTAACAATGATACTAAATTTGAACTTAAAGCAAGACTTTTGATCTAAAATAATCTCTCTGTCACAAATGACATGTTTCAAAAGTAAAAAAATCCCTGTTTGATTCAATGGACTCGAGGTATTTGATGCTACAGTTCAAAGTAACTGAAGTTAGCTAACATTAGGAAACTCCTCTACCTGTGCTACTGTTTTTCAGTCCCTTTAACCTATTGGTAAATGTGGAGTTTATGTACTTATAGTGAGTTAACTGTAGTTTTTGCCCACATACAGAGCAGTTTACTCTGCATATTGTTTCATTTCATAATTTTCGTTGCATTTTCTAGGGCTTGTGTAGCCAACAGTAGTGTTTAGCAAGATTTAGTTATTAACAGGCCACCTTAATTGAGACTAGAAACAGAGGAGAGGTTTCTGACACAACTTCAGCCACCCCACGGTCTGCTGTGATAGGACATGACGATGTGAAGCAGTTAAAGTTCCAGTAAAACTTACAGAATCTGCAAAGAGCAGAAAAATGTGAAAAACGACCAGTTGCATGAACATATACATCTGCCACCGCGGCACCATCAAGGATGGGCTGGTCATGTAAGCACATGGTTTAGAGTCAGGCGATGGGGAGTGTCCAGTGAAACAAATCTGGGTGGTTACAGCGCCATAAGGTGTTAAGATGCATCTGAGCAATGGCGCTTTACGTTTTGCACCAGCCATACAAATCCACTTAACTCATTTACATATGCTCTTTAAAATGTTGCACAGGTATTCTTAGCTTTCTAAGAAAAGGCCATTTACACTAATATTTTCTGACTTTAATTTGCTGAAGAGAAATGAGAGCTAATTTACTTTGCTAAAGTATTAAGTTCACGTAACGTATCTTTTTTAAGTACGGCACATTAAAAATGAGTACATTTCTACAAAGATATATTTGTGTGAAGAAGCATAAAAAATCTCTCCTAACACGTGCCAGACTCAAAAAAAGATGTTAGCTTAACTCCAATATAACGCAGTCTGGGCACAAACACACATCTTCGCTCATGACGGGCCAGTTAATCAGTCCAAAGTGAGCTGAGACTGAGTGATTGTGTTTAAAAGATGTCAGAATGACAGCCGGTGATGGGCGGTGGTACCTGTGTTTCTGAGGTGGAAGAATAGAAACACCAAATGCCTCTGTAGCTCCGTCCTCCAGTTAATACTCATGCTGAATACTACCAGCAACAAGCTGTGTCCTTGTACTGCTATAAGTTTTTAATGAGTGCGGCTGCTCCCAACAGAGCTCATCGGCCCAACCTTGGCCCGACTAGTTCTCCAACATTATCCTTGACATTTTAGAAATGTTTTTGTAAAGGGCAGTAAAATTTGTCTAACAGCAGGGTGTAGATTGAACTGATCTCACTAACTCAAACTGAATAGTTTGCAGATGGCTTATTGAAAGTTTGTGACAATGCTACAACGGGGCTATCAGAAGATGAAACAACAGAACCTGGACATACTGTAACTCACTAATACTAGCACTCAACCTGTTCAGCCTGTGGCTCATCAGCTTCTTCCCTCTGTCATCTTCTCTCGTATGGAGATGCACATACTTTCCAGCTCAATCTTTCTTCCTAGCCAAAAGTCCTTTTCTCCTTCCTTAGTGTCCAGCCTCACATGCTTCTCCCTCTATCCAGAGGATACAACAAACACATTCATGGCAGTTTCTTTCACCGCATCAGCTGTACTTTCACAGTCATCTGGCAACTCCTTCCTACCACTCAGAGCTTGTCTCAAGTCCTTCCTGGACTCTTGCACAACATTCTTCCGTCTTCAGCTTCCACCATTTAATCCTTAACGTCTGCCTTCACTTGCTTCCTCTTCTTGATTTCCGAATCCATCCTACAGACTGTCATTAAATGTTGCCTAGCTACAGTCTTCCCTTGACACCACCGTGGAGTCTCCTTTTTCAGAATGCACCTTCTGCATAAGATGTAGCCCACCTGTGTGTCACCCTGTGCTCCTCCTGGTTCTTGAATTAATCAAAAGATCAAACTAATCTATATTAATCTTATACTTGGGGACTTGGGGAATCCACATAGTTTATAATTTTTCTGAAACAAGCTATGCTTTCCCTGCTCCCTTTAAACTTTACTTACTAAACTAGTTTTCTCTCTGTCTCGTTTTAATCGACAACATTATTATGGAGCACAAAAAATAAATGCTCACCAGAAACTTCACTAGTTATAGTCTGACCCAATTCTCTGGGTGGTCCAAAGACATGCATGGGGTTAGGTTATCTGGTGATTCTGAATTGGTCATAGGCATGAATGTGAGTGTTAATGGCTGTCTGTCGCTCTGTATTAGCCCTGTGACAGACTGGTAACCTGTCCAAGGTACACTCTGCCTCTCGCCCTATTGCAGCTGGAATAGACTAAATCCAGAATTGGATTTTTACAGTAATTCCCATGTAAAATACACAGCACCAAGTAGACCACTGAGCCCCCTCAGCCCATAGATGAAGGGTTACATAAAACCCTACTGTAAACATAATGGATACTGTTATGATGACTGTCATTTACTTTGTGCTGTGTTTAAATGCAGAACTCAGACGGCAAAACAGCAGAAAGACAAACTGAAGCCAAGGCAGAAGCAAACTGTCATGCAGAGTAAATCACAACAGGTAAGCACATCCAGCATATCTCGCTATCACTCACATTACTGATAAGCTTTTATCGTCTTGCCTTGACTCCTTTCCTTTTCTGTCTTACACAGCCATTGATTTGTTTTTCCACACTCTTGCTCTGTCTCTCTCCTTCTGCAGCTCCTGTTGTTTCCCTCCTTTATTGGATCTCCTCGTCTCCTCTCCTGCTGCTCCATCTTTCATGTGTCTCTCCTCTTTCCGACAGACACAGAGACTATTTCTCTTCCTCTGCCACCCAGGGACAGAGTCTTCACAAGGTTAGATATTTTAAATCAGATAGACTAGCACTGCCGGAGTAGTAAGTGTCCAAAACGGGTCAAAATTAGAGAGCTCCTTTAAATGATATTGAACAGAAATACCTCACAAGTCTAAAGCTTCAAACACACTTGGAAAAGAGCTCATAAATCATTGGAGTCACGCAAAAATAAAAAATGATAACGATAAAAAACAAAATTGGATGATGAAATATTTTAGGCTCATGTTTTGATCACATTACGTCTGATCCACCACAAACGGAAAGAGAAGAGAAACAAAACAAAAACAAAACAGAAGAAAATGAATGGATGGATGAACAAACAGTACAAATTATTTAGTTAATTAAAAACTGGCATAAAAAAGAACCTATTATGCTCTTGAAAAATGTGTATTTTTAGCTTTAAACCTTAAACGAGCACTCTTTCAATTGGCTGCCCCTAAAAAAACAAAAGCGATGGAAACCTGCAGATCCTGGAGTAAAAAAGTTTTCAGAAATCGAGCACTGAAATCAGTCTGATGCTCAGACAGACAATAAGGAAAGCATAGTGGATCCACTTAAGTGTTGTGGTAGTGGGGTGTGGTTTGTGGCTCAGCTGTGGGAGGACAGAGGGGGCGGGTGGTTCAGGGTGCACTGCTAGGGGATGCTGCGTGGAACACCTGTTACATAACGTCCAATCAGCCTCCTCTATTCATGCAGTAGCACGTTGGGACCAGGTGGAGGAGCTACAGTGAGGAGGAGAGTTGACGGCAGCTGAAAATTCAGTATCGAGGCACAACGCCCAATCCGAGCACTGTGCAACAAATAAAGAGCACAGCAACTATTGTGTCTGTGTGTGGTGTTAGGAAGGTGGTTCTCACCTGCTCCTATGCAACATCCCTTTTTTCTGATAGAAAAACATTTCAAAGTAGCAATTTCCTACAAAATGTTCAGCATGCATACAAATCATAGTCTTGCTATTCTTTAAATGAAGCGTTTACCTGCCTAAAGTGTGTACTTCAGCTCAAACCACTAAGGTACAGTGCATCTGATCAAATGTGCCTGCAGTGAGTGAGAGAGTGAGAGGGTAAAGCTGGGTTAAGGCCTGGAGGAACCCGCTGTAGCCCTGCCTGCTCAGCACAAAGCCTCTCTCGCTGTCTCAGTCTCTTTGTAGAGAGGGTGATCAAAGTGTGGAGCGCGCTCAGAGGATTCACAAAGTCAGGAAGCTTCTGAGCGGATGAACACGGACATCCCATTATGTTTCCAAGTAGGGTATCAAGGGACGTGAAGGTGCACACATCCTCAAGCGCGTGAGTGTGAGCTCGCTCGAGCATCTGCACTCCAGACCTAAAGGTTTGATTCTGTGCACGATTAAAAATACTCGGGAAAATGAAAGATGATTGCGTTTTCGAAGCATCTGAGTGTGCTAACTGTCTGCAGCTTTGATCCGTAATGAGGAAGGTAGGGTAAGATTCGGCAGCGCTGCCTGTTATTTCAGATGAGAATCAGAGGATCAAAGGCTTTTTCTCTCCTCATCCTTACCTCTCTCTGACTGCCTGTGTGTCTCTGCTTCACCTGAAGTGTCCTTGGTTCACCTCTGGCCTGTCCACACCCCCCTGAAAATGCAGAGAACCCGTCAAAGGCTCTTCAACATAAACTTGTCCACTCTTCTGTGGCAGGATGGAGTTATTTCCTGTCACAGAAGACAAGCTGTAGGACTGCTGCTTCACAAATACTGTAGATGACCTCTGACCTCCCTGAGGATGAAGGATAAAGCTCAAATATTTTCTTACAGACATCGGCATTTGTGCCGTGCAGTCCATAAATGTTTGGAACAGTTTTACGGGTTCTTTCCTGCCGCTCTCCCTTCAATGCTTGAACTAATAAGCAGTAAGAAAACTGACTCTGAGACACTTTCAGTTTTCTGAAGACAACTCTATCTTCTGTTTATTCATCTACATAATAGATTTGCTTAATTCCGGCAGCAAATTAGATGAGAATGATGAGGCTTTGTACCAACAATCTGGGCTTTACTTTTGGATTTGGGGAATTTCCTTTGAGTCACTGGCTTTAAAGCTTTTTTTAAGACTGTAAATTACTTTAGCGATGAAGTCACTACACATACTTTGGAGTGTGTATGTGTGAGCGTGTACAACAAAGTGTGAGACCCACACGTGTAAGATTTTTACGCTTACCTCATTCTCTGAATCACGTATCTGCAGATGGGAAGTGTATGCGAAGGTATTCTCTGGAGCGACAGTCGGCCTGCGGAGGAGGAGGGGGAAGATGAGGATGAAGTGAGAAAAAATGAAATTCCACATTTAACACAATGTCCCAAACTGTGTTCAGCAGCGGAGCTGCGATCCGAGGTGAGCAGGAACGCCCTTACACCCCGAAGTCATTCCTCAGAAGTTTGAAGTTAAAATTAAGTGCCTTGATGCTGACTTTGTACAAATCTCTTCTGTTTGCTACCAAATCTGGCAAACAAGCTAAATGATACAGCAACTGTTTGCACATACGTTTCTGAGGCAGCATTCTCAAACATCATTAGATTTCAGAAATTTAGTTTTGGGTGAATTAAAATCTCCAATTCTTAAACAGCAGCTCTGACTAAACTAACAGAAGAGACAACACGTGCAATATGATCAAGGGGCCAAAAACTTCCCCAGTTTGTTACTTCGGGACAATCTGATATCTTATATTTAAATATGTAAATGAGACATGATCTATTATCTGACACCACAAAAGCTTTTCTTCATTGTCCTTCAAAGTGCAGGTTTGCCTATGCTTCCTTCCTTTCTTTCTTTTGGAATCAGCTCAGAGTTTGGGTTTAGGATACAAACACTCCCTACTTGGAAAACCAGGCTTGGTTAACGCTTCTATTTTCTGTCATTTACTTGTGTCTACTCTCCTGTACTTTCTGTTTTTTGTTCATGGCCTTTCTTTGCCCCTCTTTTCTGTCTTCTCTTTCCTCTCCCTGCGCCTGGTTCTGCCAGAGGTCTCTTCCTTTTAAACGGGGGTTCTTCCTCGCTTTCATGAACAAGTGCTTGCTCAGATGGGATCAGGAGATCATTGGGGTTTTCTCTTTAATAGAGTCTTTGCTGCTGACATTATAGAATACCTTGAGATGACTGCTAAGGGGAACTGGTGCTACAGAAAGAAAATTGATTTGACCTTGCTGTGGGTCGGGGGGTTGGGGGTGGGGGGGTTCAGTCACTGTTAGTTTAATGTTTTTATAACACTTAAATGTACACACACATGTCCTTGACACATTTTTCTCTAATACTCTGCAGGAAAACATGTTATTTCAGAACAGCCACAGTCTCAATGTGAGACGATACCAAAACAAAATAGGTGAAAATGAGTTTATGAGGTAAGGTTTAACATTCACGTTTTTTCAAGCATCTTGGTATATTCATCAGATTATTGGTTTATTTGTTTTGCACTTGCATAAATTTCTGTCTAAAAAGTGACTTGAACATACCTTTTTTAAATTTGTGTGTTTTGTGGATATACAAATAAATCAATCCCACACTGGAAGAATAGCAGTGTTACCTGACATAACAGCAAAAAGTATAAAAAATAAAGAAAGAAAGAAAAGATAAAAAAACAAAACAAAAACCTCAGTTTGATAGTTTTTGGTTAATTTGTGACTTCTTTCCAACACATCAAACAGAAGTTACACTCACCAGCGTTTGATCAACGCTTTGATTCAGTGAGGCTGTTTCAGTTCATTACGCCACACTGATGTGAAATACTTGCGGGAAAGCGGTGGAGTGTGGGTGTGTTGAGGGAGACGAGCACTTTTAAATCAAAAGTGAAGCTGCAGTGTGAGACAAACGAAATAAAAAATAAAATAAATACACTTGACAAAATGTAAATCATTATGTTTCTCCCAGTGCAACATGCTTACCGTAAAGCTGGGATTTTCTTAAGACTGGAAAACTAATAACTGAATCACCTCTATCACTCTGCTGAATACTTCTCATGCTGCCTAAGGCTACACTTAAAGGCATTTTAGCCATCGGCACGCTCATCTAATCTGAATGTGGTGACGTCACTTTTCCAAACTGAACTGTGGATCTGTTGCCCTTTTATGGTGCTCGTTGAAAGACGATCGTTGAAAGTTCCCACAAAGTCGTCCAGCCACTCTGACGGAGCTGTGTGTTCAGACTGTGGTTGGAAAAGAAGGAGCTGATCACATTGATGAACCGGTAACACTACTGATCCACTACTGCTGCACTACTGGGCTCCAGTTTCACCTGCTAGGTTCCTGTAGGACACTCCCACAAAAGACATTCTTTTTCTCAAGTGTTAGATAAAGATAACCCTTTATATGTGAACAGACACGGAGTGTAGCTCATGTTAACAGCTCACAGATGGTTTATTAGCATGGATGTAGGCGGCTTCCAGCTGTGAACAGTGAAGCCAATGAGGAAGCGCTTTAATCCTTTTTCATAAGAACTTAGAACTTAATTTATTGTCATTGTACAGTTGCCCGCACAACTAAATTAGGTAGCAAAACCACAAATATGCAAGAAAGTGACAAATTTCAAAACAACAATATAAAAACACTATATACACAATACACAATATATATATATACACTTTATACAATGTATAAGTTACAATAAAAAAGTATAAGTTACCAAAGAAAAATGGGATTATTGCACATTTGCCAAGATATTGCACAGAATAACTGTATGGGGGTCTGCTCACGCGTACACACCCACATCCACCCACGCTGACATACACACACTCAGGTTACCATAAGTTCAAAGGGGAAGGCCGCAGGTTTGTCAGTGTTCTGGTGCACTGAGAGTTCTGACAGCCCAAAGGTAGAAGCTGTTTTTAGTCTGTTGGTTGGATCTGAACCTTTTTCCAGAGGGCAGGATGTTGAATAGGTGGAGGTTAGGATGGAGGTGGTCTTTTAAAATCGCCCTGGATTTGGAGAGACATCTATAACTGTCAATGGAGTCCAGGGAGGGGAGTGGACGGCCGATCACCTTCTTTGCAGTTCTTATGAACTGCCACACATATACTACGCTGAAGAATGGGTAACACCCTGATGGCATTACTTGAGAAAAGTAATTAAATTTACTTCGGAAAGTTTTCTCACAGTCTTCTTACTTTTACAGCATTGAGCCCTCTGATTTTTTCTCTCTCATGCAATCAGCAAGCAAATGAGTTTCAAGGAGCATCCCTAACTTTTATAAACCAAGCATTTCCTGCTCTACGTATGATTATCACACTGCACCTGTTTGATCAACAGAAAACGGCAGTAAAAATGCAGAGAAGAATCAGTTTAAAACTGGTTCGCTCTGGCCACAGCTCTGCCAAGGTGGGAGCTCAAGAGGTGAACAGATGTGCACCGTTGGCTCTCTACAGGGGCTTTCGATACATTCAGGCCACACATATACAAACACTCACACAAGAAGAGCAAAGGCTCTGGTCCAGTGGCCCACGGCAGGTCTTTATCCTCCAACTGCCCCAAAGGCCCTTAAGCCCTGCAGCTATGCCTGCATGCTCTGCTCTGTCTTCCCTTGAAATCCATCCTTCCTTTACCAATTCATCCTCCCTCTACCTGGAATTCACCTCTCATCAAGCCAAATCCTTTGTATCACTCTACTCAAACTTTTTCCTCCAAACCTCAACCTTTCTCCCCCACGCCTCTCTCATGTCCACCCCAGGGCTTCCTCTTATGCTTCTTTACAACTCTCCTCCAGTTTCTGTCTATGAAGGTCCACAGTCCAGTGACTGCAGCACCAGAATGTCAGACAGCCATATATTAACATTTAGACAGCCTTAGGGCCCGAAGGGGAGCTCCAATTTTAAACAGTCACATCCTCTCAGCACATTCAGAAAAGTTGCACAGTCCGACTGCTACAGCTGGCACCGGTGGAGCTCTGCTGTCAATCTTCACCCATGTTTTATCCTGTCAGCTGTTCGACGTGACTGTTTTACGGCTGTGTAGCCTTCTCGTTCTCTGAGTTTCTCCTCACAGGCATGTCTCTTTTCTCTTCAAATTCCACTAAAGACATCGTGCTGTGATGCTATCATTATCAAGTCAATGAGATGCTGCTCCACAGAGAATCTGGTTTTTAAAGCAGAACAAATGAGGAGATTCATGCTTGGACTATGAAGTTATTTACTTCGATTAATCTGTCAGGTTGTGTTATTTTTTTTTAATTGAGCCATAAAATGTCTAAACAAAAAATACACAACCCATTTAACCCATTTGGCAAAGCAAACTGAAATATGTTCAATTTTCAAAGAAAGAAAGATTAATCATTTGAGTCTCTGTCAGACTGCCAAACAGCTGGTTTACCATCTTAGTCCAAAATAAACTATTGTGAATTGTATGCTTGAAAAACTGTGTTGATCCCCTAATTGAGCTAAATGGAGATAATGAATGGAGGAACTAAAAAAGTATTATATCTGCTATCTACCAGAAACCCTGCATGAGAATAGTTTAATGTTTGCACATAAATTAAGCTTTACCGTGCACGACAGCCCTACAGATGATCGTGCAGAGACACGCTGTGTCGTAGAAAACATACTTTCTAACCAGGAGCGTGGGTTTCACGTTGAATCGCATTTGTCTGCATTTTTGTTAAACATTTGCAACTTCTAGAATCATTCGATCACATACATTTAAAGCACCTAAACACTAAACAATACCACAACATGTGTAAAGGTAAAGCAGCGGTCATAGTGTGTGTCATGTCAATTACAGACTGTATGTAAAAGATGGGCTTAGCTATCGCTGGACCACAGCGCCACCCACTGCCTTTTGGATTCTGCATTTTGACGACTTGTCCTTATCATTTTTGTACTGGTTAACACATTTGCCTCATATGCGTAAGATCAAAACCAGGAAGAGACAGAAACCCAGTTGCAGGATAAATGGGAGGTTGTGTCAGGAAAGGCATCCCCAAAATCTGTGCCAAATTAAGCATGTGGATCAATCTGTTGTGGGGAAAGTATCTTTTTATCATTGTTGGTCACTGTCGTGTTTTCGTTTGTTTGTCTGTTTTTTTGGGTGGTGTTTAGAGCCAGAAGTGCCCATATTTAATGTGCAGTGAAAAAGCATCATTACTTGCATAAATACACTTTGTAAGTGAAATGCAGAGGCGTGTATCTGCTAATTAGTCTGTGAAGGTTCTCAGTCATCCAGGTCATCGTAGTCAAAGGAGCTTGCAAAGAAAAGCGAGAAGCTTCTTCTCGGATGAGAGGTGAAACGTCTTCAAGTAACTTAAAGAAGT